AACGAACTTGAGCCTACGACCCTCTAGTGACTGGCGACGAACAAAGTTGTTCGATGCCCCACAGTCTACCAGGGCACGAAGCGACAAATCATTTGTCGCTTCCAACTTCAAGGTGATGAGCGAAACGTCATCGCGAGGTGCAGAGACACACAATGATTGTGTATCTGGAGCAACTTTCGTCAAGAGATTTGCAAATTCTCTTGAGGTTGCTGGATCAGTAGGGCGCTCCGCCCCTACTGACCCCGACCATTTTTTGATGGTCCGTCTCGCTGTTGCGGCTTCGCAACAGCGCTGGACCCACGCCCATTGCCCTTTCTGGCGAATGGTCGTCCATTTCGCTCAGTACTGTTTGGTACTTGGCGTGGAGCACTACACTCGTATGCGTAGTGCCCTAACTTCTGACAGCGATTGCACCTCTGCAATCGCTTGTTGTTTGAAGAGCGAGGTCTCTCGTTCTCAACATAGCAGAGGTCAATTGGTTCTGGACCTCCGATCTCTTGTCGTCTCGGTGGACGATAAGAGTTTGAGCTAGCATGAGCCTGTCTCATGCTAAAGTCTTCCTGTTCCGCGGCTGATATCGCTTCTTCAAGCGTATTCAGCTCAAGGCGGAACAGGTGGCTCCTGACGGGCCCTTCTGCGAGCCCTTGCATGAACACCGTAATCAACGTGTGTTCATGTACTGGGTTGGCAGTTATACTACTCGCAAAGAGTCGTATATGTTGTGCGTAAGCGTGCACATCACGCTTACCCTGCTTGAGTTTCAGGAGCTCTGAACGAGCCCTGAACTCAGCACGTGGCGGCTCAAACGTTTGTCTGAGCCGGGACTTGAGGACATCTAGCGACCTAAACACGTTTGGGTCGCTACTCTCGAGTCCCAGGGACCAAGTTTTGGCACGCCCTGCCAAGTGGGTCTGAGCAAATGTGAGTTTCATTTGCTCATCTTCGACGCGACGAGCCCTTAGGGCTCTGTCGAGTTCGACAAACCATAGTAACAGGGAGTCCTCCGGGACTCCACTGTACTTAGAGATGTACACTTTCATGACTTCGGGACGACGCGCATGCGCCGTCCCGCCCACAGCAGCATGGACATGCTGCTGTCTCAACAGCTCCGTCTGTTGAGCACCGAGTTCTCTCAACTGCTCGGCCAGTTGAGAGCCTTGCTGATGAAGCAAGGCTACTTTCTCCCTCTCGAGAGCAGTTTCATTCTGAATGAACTTGGCAATAGCGGCATGTTGTTGGTCTCTGTCTAGAGACTCCAACATGGCGCTAACGACGAGTTCGTCAACGGTAGAACTCATTCGTTCTACCGCACCCCATTCGATGTCACTCAAATGGGTAAACCCTTCACGCGTGGCGTGAAAGGTGTCTTCTTCATCCAACATGTTCATGTTGGATGATGTGGTCCTTGGAAGGACTACAACGTGCTACCAGGTGTAACGGGGCACACCCTTGCGTAACTTAACGCATGGGTTTTGGGTGCCCCGACGGACGTACACGTGGCAAGCGAGGAAGCGTAGGTAGGGTAAAAGCAGAACTGTTATATTAATATAATTAAGTCTTTAAACTACTGTCTCTCTGTTTGACTTAACTTAATTAAACTAATCTAACTGAGCGTATGGTGACGTCTCGTCACCACTCATTGCGCGCGTCTTGCGGCGATTGGTGGGTTGATATCATCACGATATCAACCAATGAACAGACCCTTTGGTCGACCCTTCAATATCACCACTTTGGTGATATTGTTTAAAGATTATCCATCTTTATATTCTTTGTTGTCACTTTCCTTAAAGTGACAATTTTATGTAACGGGCTGCCCCGTTACATTAGGGATGAGGCCTATGATATTGAGCTGGTTTTGGACGATTGTGGACGTGTAACCCATTGCTTTTTTGCACACCCGGCAATGGTGGAGTTTATGAGACTCAATCACGACGTGTTAGTCTTGGATTCCACCTACAAGACAAACAAATACCGTTTGCCTCTCCTGCACGTCGTCGGTTCCACCGCATTGCACACCACCTTCTCCGCGGCCTTCGTCTTCATAAAGAACGAGAACGAAGAATCGTACAAGACTGCTGTTGGGCTCTTGTACAAACTTTTCCACATCAATGCTATGCCAAAAGTTTTTGCAGTTGATAGATAACTTGCCCTGATCTCGGCATTGCAGTATCAGTTTCTTGAGACCTCGATTTAGTTGTGTGTGTGGCATATAGAGAAGAACATTACCAAGAATCGCAAGGGCCGTCTTGGCAGCAATCACGAACAGTTCATGAAATACTAATCAGCGGTAAAAAGTTTTTATTTTGCAACTTTCACCAAACTTGTAATCCATCATGCTGATTTAATATTTTAGATAGTTCATGCAGAGACATAAACTCTATTTTAATGAGCTCTGGTACAGTTTCCGCACTCGCTACCATATGTACCAGGAAGCGCTTAAATACCTGGAAGATAGGTGGATATATCCTCATAAGAAAAAGTTTGTTGCGGCATGGGCGAACAACGCTACTCACTTTGGGCATGCTGTTACTTCACGTGGTGATAGTGCTCAAAGCTGGCGGAAAACGTATCTGGGCACGAGCATGCTTGATTTGTTGCGGTGCTGCAAGAGGATCAAGGTGTCAATTAAAGATTTCCTGACAGGTTACCGCGCAAAACGCTCGAGCGATCAAATGAAGACCCCTCTGTTTGCTAACCCTTTCCCGAAGACGGACATCTTCCAGAACGTCACAAAAATCGTTTCGAATTTTGCTTTGAGCAAATTCAACGAGAAGATACGTCAAACATGTGATGATGCTGGCAAAGTTTAAGATCTCTTTATTTACCTTTGATCTAGTTGCAGCTGGATTACGCACGCAGACCGGTCCAATCTAATGAAAAAACATGCTCCATGCGTTCAGGACAGTCTGGGGGATGCCATGCCATCACCGGCTCGATAATTTGATCAGCAAGGATAAGCGATAAACTTGAACGACTTTCATCCCCATTGGCATATTGTGGAACGTATTCCTCTTTGTCATGATGCTTTTGAGAAACACGGAGATCATTTGCCTATTGTGATGGAACAATTAGCCAACAATGTGGCTACGTTACCGGATCACCAACAGAGAGCAACTATTGAGAATCTCCACCATCTGTCCCAGCTGTTGCCATTTCCGATTAAGAAACTAGAAGCTGTGAGAACAAAGGGCCACCCAAGCACCTCGACAAAAAGAAATTTGTCTGGATTTGAATACGTGGAACAATCGCAGAAGCGCAGGAAAGCGGATAGATGTAGCGCATGTGGTGGCGTCGGTCACCTCAAAAACTCCAAGAGCTGTCCAAATTATATCTTGCCTTCCACGTTTGCATCCGCAATTCATCAAAATGTAGCGACGTCGTCAGCGACGAAATTGCTTGAGCTACAAATCGATTTGGATTAATTATCGAGCTATAGATGGCTTCATTATCCGGCAATACAACCACGTCCGTGTGATCGATCAGAGAGTGCAGGTAACATTGACTTACAAGGCTCCACGACTTCCGACGAGACCAGAATCAAGGAGAAAAATAGTAAAAACCAATATACTTTTGCCACTGTAAATTAAGTGATAGCCGTTCAAGCTAGAGCACACCCAGTCATAATCATGTACCTCCATCCCAAGCATTGTTAGCCATATGTCCTTTCTGTGCAACCCATGCAAGTTTTCACACCCGGTATAGTACCTTGTCGTCATACCCTTTCAATCGCCCAATGACCTTGTAAGTAACCGTACTTAGCATCTTCGTACCCGAAATTATCTGCCCGGGGTGGGACGATCAACGGTATGGATTGGTACGTACCTCGTCACAGACGTTATCTGTAATAACACAAATACTGCACGCGGTACGTGCTTGTTCGTGCCTTGAGGAAGCTAAGGAGATGCTCACTCGAGCTTCAACTCACCACTGAACGGATGCAAAAATTTGTAAAGCCATATAGATATTAAAGAAAAAAAGTGGCAGAGCAGAAGAAGGAGGAGAAAATACGCTGGGGTGGTCGTCTGCTAAGTAAGACCGAGGCAGCCATGAGCAGAGGTATTTCCAAGCATCGTCCACTGCAGCTGAAAAAAATGTTCGAGTTCGGTCACGAGCTGTATATGGTCACTGTTGTGCTTATTGGCATCGCATTGGCTCTCAATCAAATTGTATTTGTGGAGTAGCGGAGGTGCTGTAGAGGCGCACCTGTCATTCGACGTCACTTAAAACGCTAACATTCATGTGAAACATGGTGTATTATTTGGCGTACCTTAAGAGATTAATTCGGCAGCCACATGCCAAGATTATGCATGTTGATTACATCTGCATAACGACTCGTGAGTGTGAGCACGAAGAATCTCGAATGTCGTTGCCACTGCCAATGGTTGAATCTTGGCATCGTACCTATGGATTGTATACCGTCTTCGAGACGGTAGAGACTTCAGCAGGCTCAGCCCGTTTGAACACCGCCCTGGCCAAATTGGATTGATACGATCTCGCGCATGAGTGCAATTACTGTTCCAGATAGGGATATATCGAGCAGATTAAGTGACTACGTGTTTACTTATTCTGCACCATAAATTATGAAGTCCTCTTCATCATCATTTTAGGCGGGCGGAAGTGCCCGTAGCAAAAATGGGGTGTGCCCCTAGTCGTGGCCTTTCAATTATGGCATTGTGGTTTTCCACCAGGACCCGTTCGTGCAATTTTTGCTGAAGTGGACGATCAGAGAACAACGCACACCTCATCTGCGCGTAAAGTAACGTGGCAATAAACAAGTACCGCTGAGTGACATGCGCTACTTCATTCGTAGGCAGTTCATAAGTGCGGTCAGCAATTTGTACAACAACCGCATTGCCAGGCTCTGTTGGCTACGCCACTCGAGTCGGTCGCATGTGACCCCATGTGGCAATCGCAGCTTTGCGCCGAGTAGTAGTCGGCTGCACTTGGCGCGTCGCAAAGAGGTATCGACAGCCCGTCCAGTTCCGAAGCGAATCCGATGGCTAGGGAATGACCATCGATTTGACGCCGTAGCTGCTGTGGGACAGCGCACTTGCTAAACTGCGACTGCTGTAGGTGTGACGTAGGTAGTTCTGGAGCAGTCGCTGGTAGTATTCTTCGTCAAGTGGAGGCGATGACGACTCGTTGGCTTTCTTCACCAGAGTCGACTGACGCGGGAGCCAAAAGCTGCTCTGCGCTTGAACAGGTGTCGATTTTCGGCAGTCCAGAGGCACTTGGCCTCGGCGTACCGTTGCGAAAGCCGGTACTTGCTGGTGAAAGCTTTGGTTGTGCGTCAACAAGCTGTTCCCAGACGGGAAACGGCCGAGCTGCAACGACGTATAGTAGTTGGTCGAAGTCGATCCCAGATCCGCAGACGTAAACGAACGCAGCGAATTCTCTGCATTGGACGACGACATTCCTGAAATGGCGGATGCGGCGCTGCCACGGCGGACCTGGTAGTGCTCCAGCACTTCCAGCATCATACTTGCGGCATCGAGCGCGCCGCTTTTATCGCTCGGTGCCTCCTGACCTGCCGTTTCCAATGATTGCACGGAGGTCCGCTTCTTGGGCCGAGTATTGACACTCAACCGGTGTTGCTGGTGCTTCTCGGATTCGCGTGACGACAGTGCTGAGATGGAAGAAAGTTCTGCAGCTGATACTAGTCGCTCCGCGCGCTCGGAAGCAGCCGCTGACTGGTACCGTTGACGTGGAATGGACGCGTCGGTGACCGAAGACGACGTTATCGTCGGGCGGATAAACGTCGGCGCGCGCTTCCGCTTTTTCGCCAACCGCTTGAGCAGGCGCGCGTTGATCGTAGCCACTGAGGGGATCACCTCGCACACGCAAGCAAGACAAAAGGTCTCTGTGCAGGGCCCGCCAGCAGCACTGATGCCCTCTGGGTGGTAGTGCGCACAGAAAATCGGCTTAATCACGCGACACGTACGACAGCAGGGCTTCCAGCACCCGCGGCAGTGGCGCGGGGCGTTCCAGAAGTACAGCGCTCGAGCGCACACTCCACAGCGCGGGCGGGCGCTGACCGCGTCACGCAATCGCTGCGTCTGACCCGCAAGGAGTACCGACAGGTTCTTGGCCTGGCCGCTTTGCACCGTATTGGCCATCGACGTAAGCCACTCTGCAATGCACTGGTCGCCCACAATGGGCGCCAAGCGGCCGCTAGAGTTGAACTGGCCGTGCGCGAACATCGCCACGCGGTCGTCCGCGAGGCGCTTGAACACGATCGCGAGCGAGACAAAGCCGCGCACGACGTCTTTGGACTTGTGACCGGGCTTCGGACCCGCGCGGCCACTGCGCGTTGGAGCAGGCGGCCACGTCGCGTCGGTCGGGTGCGTCTGTGCGTCGGCGTCATCGCTCGCGAGCGGCTCAATCGAGTGCAGCACCAAGTAGCCCATGTCGTCGCCCACGTCGTCGGTCACGACGTCCATCTTCTTGAAGCAGACAAAGTCGCGCGGACGACAGAGGCCGAGCCCCGGGAGCTTCTGCGCCAGCCACACAATGCCTGCGAACTGGAACGGGCGCGTCTCGGAGCTGCGCTTGTCCACGTGGAGCACGCGCGCGTCGAGCGACCGCGGGCTCAGCAGCCGCTCCAGCACCCGTGCGGTGCGCGTCGAGTCGGCGTACAGTCCGTTCATGACGTCGTGCAGCGAGCCGTGGACCGTTCCGCGCGCCTGCACCGTCGCCAAGCGACTACGGGTCGCGCGCTGCCGGTACACCTGAATGTCACTGCGCTCGCGCAGGAGTTTCCACTGCCGCGCGCTGTGGGCGGGCAGCCACAACCCGTCACGACGTGGCGCGGCGCCCAAAGGGGTGCGCCGTGCGCGGCGGTCGCGCTCCTGACCCTCGCGCAAGAGCCGCAGCGTCGTCTCGAGGCGGACGGCGCACTCGCGATGGTACCGGCGCAGGCGCGCGCTGCTGACGTCGGTGGCGAGTGTGGGCGTAGCGAGGGCGTCGTCCATGTCCATCGTGATGGCCGACACGAGGCCGTGACTGGTGGCGAGCCGGTCGACAGCGTCCGCCATCGCAACAGACAGACACACACACACGCACACGCACTCACACGTCGGGGGGTAAAGAGGCCCTCTGTATGGCAAATGCCGTTGTGAGAGAGCGAGAGAGGAGCAGGCGGTGGTCAGGCAGGCGGACCGACCGACCGACCGACCGACTGACTGACTGACTGACCGCGTGAGCGACCGACAGACGGGCGAGCAGACACGGACAGCCGGGCGGCGCGTCTCGTTTGACTCGCATTGAGTATAGAGTGCCGAGCTGAACGCCGCGTGAGGCCGTGCAGAGGCTATCGCGCGCGTATCTTGTGCTCGGGTCGTCTCTCGCTCTCTCTCTCTCTCACTCTCTCTCTTTCTCGTTGATCTTCTTGTGCCGCGGCCGATACGATCGATACGAGTTTACGTGGCGAAACGCAGTCGCGACGATTTCGTGTGTGATCGATCGATCAATCGATCGTCTTGGAAACGAGTCCGATCTGTAATCGGTCTCGCATATGGCCCCTCCTCCCCCCACAGACTCAAGGGACGCCGTGATAACGGACTCGCACATCCCCCGTGGCCGCTAAGCGGTAGTGATACTACTTGTTGCATAACGCAACGTGGTGGTTGATGGAGTTTATCGGTATCATCCCTCTGTTCCACGCTAGACGCCGTCCCACGTCAATAGCTCGATCAAGTCTGAGTGGGAGAGCAGCGTCTCGTGCCCATCGTCCATGACAGGATTGCATGATCCTTCCTCGCGGGAAGAGACACACGTCTGGTCCAGCTGCCTGCGATACGCGCTCGCCTGGAACATCAACGCGCGCGGTCCACGGTCGACCCTCAATCGACTCCGACGGCATCTACCGCTCTCTCTCTCTCAGCCAAAGGTGCCGACACGCCTTGAGGCTGTTTACCTCCACACTACAAAGACGTTACCAACGTTGCGAGAACGCTGCCAGCCGTTGTTCCGTGGTCCGCTCGTGGCCAACCAGAGCGAAGCGCTGTCAAGCTGTCCTGCCACGGCGTCGACAAGCGGAGCACGTTGACGTTGCACTAGCTGCAAGTCGCTCCCACGCGGCTCTTCTGCGGCCGTCTTGTCATCGCGAGCTGTCTGCTGCCAGCGCAAGTGAGCGAAGCGCTTCCAGTTGCACGTCATCCGTTGCATGAGAACGCCCCAGAAAAGTGGCAGTTTTCTGCGTCGGCTCGTGGCTCGCGTTGGAAGGAGGTACACCTGTGGCGGCCACACGCTTTCTCGCCCCATCGCCTCTGCGAATCGCAAGTAGCCTTCGCCCAGTAGACCACACACTCAGAGCGTAACTGCCTGTGAAGCGGTGTGTTCTGCCGGCCGAAGGCTACGGTCGAACAGTGCTACGCGGACAGTTACGCTCTGCGTGCGTGAGCTGACTCGCCTGCTCTAGACATCGGCCGTAGCGCCGAAGGCAAATGCGTCGGACCGAGTCGGCGGCCGTAGCCAAGTGGTTGTTGAGTCTGTTCGACACAAGCGGACGTTGCGTTACGCTGCTCAACCCCCGCGACTTGGGCTGCTCCGTCCCATCGAGCGACACGACGGTCCTGGAAACGCCACATACACAGCATGAGAGTTTATGGACTTTGGATACGAGACAGACAGCCCACACATTGTATGGATGGAGTACACGGTACTGTTTGCTGACTCGCAGCGGAAGGCCGTAGTGCGATTTCCCGTCGAGACTAAAAACAACGACTAGCGACTCGTCACCGACGTTTCGACGCTTCGACGCTTCTCGATCCACTGCAGGCACTGACATACACTGTGCTCCTTCACTGCGCGTGTGCGTCCTCGAGCGCACCTTTTCGTCCACTGCGCACACGTCGCAAACGTCCTGTGCACTTGAGCTCTGCAGCGTCGCCTGCGGGGCCCACCCCCACCTTCCTCGATCGCCTGCCCAGGTTCTCTACCGAGTCCGAGTCCATCATCATCACCATCGTCATCACCATCTTCTTCTTCTTCGCCTCCTTTGACTTGGACTATTGCTGCGCTGTTCCACGTCGCGCGAGGCGCTGGCAGATCCGCCTCCAGCGTCATGAGCGCCAACTGTTTGCTGCTACTGCCTTTGCCGCCGCTCTTTTCTCCGCATCGTCTCTCTCCTCGGCGCAAGTGGCAGCAACCACACAGTCGGACTCCACATGCTTCGGCTGTAAGCATTCGCACTTCCGTTGTCACTTGATCAGCTGAGTCGACGACTGCAGCTGCACCGCATCGTCAGACCCAACTACAGCTGCGCCACTGCGACTGCGACTGCTGCTACAGAAGCAGTTGAGGCGATGGTACCTGCACACTTCTCACACTATGTGTACACTGGAGGAACACCACCTGAGTTCATATGGCCCACGTCCGCTCGTGTGCAGGTCTTCCGTCGAGCAGACCGATCCAATGTCCTCTCGAATCGCTCGTGTCAGTAGCGCCCCATTCAGCTGCACAGCGTCTGCAATGGCCTCCAGCGATACGAATGACCGGCAGTGGCGCTCGACGTCGTCACTGTAAAACGTGTCGCCCATCTGCAGCTCTGATACAGTCCCATCGCCACACTGAGCTCGGGGGTGTCCAGCTGATACCTGTCGCGAACCAGAAATACTGAGCGAAAAACGAGAGTCCTTCTGCCATTCAGCACTGGCGTTCGACACTGTCGCAGTTGCAGAGACAAAGCGACAAGAAGGAAAAGTGGGGCGTTCTGTTTCGCACGTGTTTGGTGGGAGCGCTACAGACGCCACAGATAGAGAGAGCGGCGTACGACTGACTGCCAGTTGGAGTGCCACACCGCGTCGACCTGTCGACCTGTCACACAACGAACGGAGTGGCGTCAAACCCGACGCTAAAGCGCTGAGGCGGCCGCACTTTGTGCCACTCAGTGTCGCTACTCTCCACCCCAAATGAACGGCATCGAAGCGACAGTGTCGTACGGCTCCAGCGCGTACGTCGCTGGCTTTGTGGTGCTGCTGGTAGGTGTGCTGCTGCCGATGGTGTACATGGCGCTGCAGAACAAGAAGGCGTTCAAGGCCGTGCGACAGGACTAGCGGGGCGGACTCGATGCGTGGGGGAGAGAGCCACTCGACCAGGTCGGACATGTGCATGTGGCGGACATGTGGACGGAAGCCCCACATCGAACTGCACGACGGCGAGCAAAAGTGACAAGAGAGTTTGGAGAAGAGGTGGAGCTTTTAGCGCAGAGGGATTCGAAGCAGTCGCGGCGGTACAGAGGGCGCGATAGTTACAGCAGCTGTGGGGTGGATGGCGCTGGAACTGGTGCCGCAGCGTTTGAGCTGTGGATCGAAGAGAAGAGCGTTCAGAGCTGGAGGGTCGAGTCGACGAGTGCATTGTGTTTGATCGCACACAATGGAGCGCTGTTTTACGACGTTCGATGTCGCGTTTGCTTACGTTGAGTTGGTGCTACTGCCACTGCTGCTACTGCCACTGCCACTGCTGCTACTGCGTCTCCTGTTTCGAATGAGTCGTGTCCAGCGCAGTGACTGGCGCGTCCCTTGGTATTGAAGGGGTCGACTCGGCGCCACGTTTGATACGTCATGGGGTTTCGAGCTGAGCGGCCCACATCCGTATCAACACTGTGTTGTTATAAGACGGAAAAATGGTTGGCAGGCGACGAAACATCCGTCGGATCGATCACTTCGTTCACGCTGTGCATTGTCTCCACTCTTTCCATGTTGGTCCGCTCACATAGGTCTGTCTGGCTGGCCACCATGAACCCAGACGTACGGTCGAGACCACCTTGAAGCAGTAAGGGTCATCGAGACGACCGACTTGAGAGCAACTGCATCCCATGATCATAGTCGTGGAGGTTCTCATGCAGTCGTTGCTTGCGTCATGTACAAGAATGGTGCAACTTCGTGCACGCGCAACAAATAATGACAGGAACGTTCACAGCACGCACCTTACCTTCACATTGGAAGACGGCGTATTGCGATAAGCAGCAGCACCCCAAGGTCTCCATCATGGCTTTAGCTCAGGCATGTCCGGTATGGAATGGTGTTGCTGTCTCCAATCGACACGGTCGAAACTTGCCCCACGCAGTAGTGCAGCCGGCGGTGATCTCGAGCCCCTCGTTTCATGGCAGACATGCGCTCATCTATCCCGACACGGGCGCTATCGTGTCGGGATCAGTGGTCTCGGGTACACCAAAGTGATGCTGCAGTCGCTGTAGCAGCAGTAAAATCGCTTCACGACCCACGGCTGCTATACGCTGTGGATAGCGTACGACGAGCGGAGGAGTGGTAGCGTCCGCCATATCGACTTTTGATGCAGCGCACTAGTAACAAGCGGGTAAATGGATACGCACAGCGGCATTATGGACGCCAGCGTCGCTGCTGTGGGTCATGGGCGATACAGAATTCCGCCAGTCGGAAGCCAGAGCTCGTGCGATCGTGTAGACGCAACGAGCAGTCTGCCACCTTCAGTCTGAACAGCGACCTGCCGCGAACAAGTCAATTAGGAAACGACTCGGCATAGTGTGACTGATACGCGTCCACCACTTCGTCGCCTTTTTCCATCCTAACTCGAAGTAGTCAATACTGAAAGCGCCAGCGCTGATCACAATCGAATGTGCTCTGCGCGACCGCACGGAACATCGAATATGTTGCCCGTATGCGTACAACGTTGAAGCAATGGGAAAGAGATTGAGCAGTCCTACGGTGTGATGGATGGTGGCGGATCGGATCGACGACCCATTTCTCACTTGGTGCACCATGAGAAAGCGCTGACACACGCCCGTACCTTGCAACGTGATCGCATAAGCTCCAGGATGCGAGCACCAGTATTCTTTAAAAGTGGATTGAGACCGACTGTGATACGAATGTAGCCTCGTTCAGTAGCAGGACACGTGCTACATGTTCGATCAGGTCAAAAAGCTGAACTGCTGGCTGAACCAATATATTCCTTGCAATACTGCACTATTCGCAAATTGCGTTCCAGCAACACTAGCGAG